CTCTCTCCTCTCAAGTTCATTCATTTCTTTTTGCAATTGGACGACATTGTACTTTCTGATGTATGAATACTTCAAAATTTGCCAGGATCGTAACAACTATTATAAACAGAACCAAGAGGAAGGAATTCTATGTCTCTGAGAAAGGGAAGGCCGTTAAAAAACCCCAGAGATAGAGACCATCGTCGCTAAGTACCCTGATCTGTTCGAGGAGCCTACAAAGGTCGTAGACAGGGAGGTTGTCCATGCCATAGAGATCATACCGGGTAGGGAGACACCTAAAGGGAGGATCTATAGGATGGCTCTGACCGAGTTGGACAAGCTTCGGCGACAACTGAAAGAGCTCACAGAGAAGGGTTGGATTCGGCCTAGCACCTCCCCCTTTGGCTCACAAGTCTTATTCGTTCCAAAGAAAGGGGGAACACTAAGGATGTGCATTGATTACAAAGGCCTCATTGCCATCACCGTTAAGAACGCAGGGCCTCTACCACACATCGACGACCTATGGGATAGGGTGCAGGGGTGTAAGTACTATACCAATATAAACTTAAAATTTGGCGACCATCAGATTGCCATAAGACTAGAGGACCAGTACAAAACCGCATTCCAGACCAGGTACGGTCTGTACGAGTTTGTGGTGATGTCCGTTGGCCTTTGCAATGCGTCGGGTACATTCCAGCACACCAGGAATAGGATCTTCCATGACTACTTGGATAAGTTTGTTGTCGTGTACCTTGACGACATACTTATCTTTGGTAAGACTGTCGAGGAGCATGCCCAGCATGTAGACAAGGTACTTTCACTCCTTCGGCAACACAAGTATAAGATAAACCTAGAGAATTGCGAGTTCGGTCGCACTCAAATCTTGTACTTGGGTCATAAGTATCCGCGGATGGGATTAGGCCTGAAGATGCGAAGGTGGCTAGCATTAGGGGCTGGACATGACCCCAGTCTGTGACTGAGGTCAGATCATTCTTGGGAATGTGTGGATATTACGACAATTTCGTAAAGAATTATAGTACGATTGCATGTCCCTTGACTGGTCTAACTCGAGTTGACACGCCATGGGACTAGACCAACGAGTTCGAGGCAACATTCAAGCAATTGAAGCATGCTCTCACACACCATGAGGTTCTCATGGTACCTGACCCGCAGAGGCCATTCGTTGTAATCACTGACGCAAGCCAATATGGCATTGGCCCAGTGCTGGATCAGCAGGAAGGGAAAAAGTTGAGACCGGTCGAGTATATGAGCAAAAAGATGTCATCAAAGAAGTTGGCGAAGTCCACCTATGAAAGGGAACTCTATGCTCTCTACAAGGCACTTGTCCACTGGAGGCACTATCTGTTAGGAAGGTTCCCCTACTTGAGAACTGACCATCGGACGCTCAAGTGGATCAAGACCCAACCTGTTCTCTCCGATGCACTCAAATGCTGGATTGAAGTCATAGATCAGTACGACTTCAAACCAAACTATGTGAAGGGAGAATACAACGAGGTTGCGGATGCGTTGTCTCGCAGGGCAGATTACCTAGGTGCACTGATCTCTGAGTTTGGCTTGTCTGAGGACGTTACTCGATCTTTGGGGGAAGCCTACAAGGAAGATCCCATCACGATGGACATCATCAACAAACTGCAGGCCAAAGACAAGGCCACCTGTGACGAGTTTGTGATGGTGGATGGGTTACTCTTTCTTGAAAAGGCAGGGTTTAAAAGGTTAGTTGTTCCATCTAGGGAGATTTTGCGTAGTTTATTTTTAGGTGAGTGTCACGACGCAACGGGACATTTCAGCGACAAGAAGGCTAGTGCTAATTTAGTAGAACGATTTTGGTGGACCAACATGCTAGACGATGCAAAGAAGTACCTACAGTCCTGTCAGGTATGTCAGCGGGATAAGCCGCGGACTCAAGCTCCTCTTGGGTTACTCAAGCCTCTACCCATTCCTGCTGGCCTAGGCCAGAGCATCTCCATGGACTTCATGGATACTCTCGTGACCAGCAAGAATGGCAAGCGGCACATCTTCATCATAGTTGATAGGCATACTAAGTTCGCAAGACTAGTTGCCATGCTAGAGACCACCAGGACCAAACACGTCATTAAGTTATTCATGGATAACTGGGTACGTGATTTCGGGCTACCAAAGACAATCGTTAGTGATAGAGATGTGCGATTCACCAGCGAGATGTGGAAGAAGGCCGCTGAACAGATGGGCAGCCAGCTTCAGATGACTTCTGGGAATCATCAAGCAAATGGGCAGGCTGAACAGATGAACCGTGTGGTGCAGCATCTGCTGAGACATTACATCAAGCCCAGCCAGGATGACTGGGATGAGAAGTTACCTCTCATCGCCAGTCTGTACAATAACGTTGTACAAAGCACCACCGGGGTCACCCCAAATCAGCTGCATCTGGGATGGAAGCCTAGATCTGCTCTAGACTTCCTCCTGCCTGAAAACCGAACCGCTGCAACTCCTGGAACCATTGAATTTGGTGTCCAGTACGAGAAATTGTTGCAACAGACTGTCGAACACATCAAGAAATCTCAGGAAGCCATGATTGCTTCTGAGAATAAGAAACGCCGACAGTCCACATTTCAGGTAGGGGAACGTGTCTGGGTCAAGGCTAGTGAGTTGGGACAGGAGTTTGGCATCTCTAGGAAACTAATGCCTCAGTATTTCGGTCCTTGGGAAATCTTGGATATTGTGGGGAATGATTTGGATGGTCAGCACAGTTCCCATCACGGGGATCTATGCTGCCCCCAACCATGGATGGCCACGTGGACGTCGACAACGTCCTGGATCAGAGAGACAAACCTGTTCCCAAGCCACCTGGCAGGGGAAGACCTCCTAAACCTGCAAGGGAATACAGAGTACATTTCAGGCATCACACTGATCCTAAGGAAGATCGATGGATTTCAAGGGAGGAACTTGTCAAGACAGCTCCTCACATCGTGGCAGATTATGAGAAGAAACTGAAGGGGAAGGCACCAGCATGAAGCATCTCAGCGGACTTTCGAAGCTAAGGGGGATGGAATGTGAGGAACAAGCCCTCAAGGGGCCCTATCAGACGTCACATGTTCTGGGCTAAGGCCCCCAGCAAGCTGAGTACCCTCCCTAAGTGAAGGCGGGCCTGAATATTCGTCAGAGGCCAAAATTCGACATTTCCATATGTGGGTATTCAGGCTCTCGCAGCACGCCAGTTGGTTGGGCAGACGTGTGAGCCTCACTAAGCTGCGTCATACAGTTGGCCCAGGCCTTGACAGTTGCGCCTGGGCATATACACACAAAGCAGGGCCGATGCATTGGGAAGCAGGCCATCGGCCTTTGGAAAAGCAGTACTGCCGACGCACCTGCCTGGGAGCCCTGCACAGATGCAGCAAACAGCCCAAGTCCAGAGACTCAGGCCGTGCCCAACTGAAAAGGGCCGAGGCCCTCAACTGTAGCCTGGGGCATGGGCGCAGGGTCTGAGGCCCAACCGGAGGCTACTGGAAGCTTTCAGCCAGGCCACACGCAGCATCCAGGAGGCTGCCACTTCCATAAAAGAAGTGAGGCAGCCCAGGCCAGGCATTCTGGCCAGTGCAGGCAATGCGGAAGTGCTGCTGCGCTATCGCTTGATGCTGCACTGCTGCCAAGGGCGCTGACGGGGCGCGTAGTGGTGAGGTGGGGCGCTGCAGGGCAGCGGGGCGCAGGCAGCCATAGCCGGGCTGCTGGGCGCCAGGGGGTAGGAGGCCGATCAGGTGGTCTTCAGGGAAGGAGGCGAGTGTGGGTAATCAAGGTCTGATTGAGGGTGACGAGATACGTACCTGGTGCATGAAGAGATGTCGGCTATGGTGCTGATAGTCATGTACATTGGTCTTCGAGAGTCGAAGTGAGCCTGTTGCGTGAACCAGATGTAGGTAGGGTAGTCGGGCAGAGTAGGCTGGGCGCTGAGCGCCAGACAGAAGAGGAGCGACTTTGGATACTGTGTTTGTGTGGTCTACGGGCTTGAACATTGGCTCATTACTTCATTGTATTGCTCTATATGGATGGTTTCTCAGTGCATTTTGTACTCTCTGGTTGGACACGACTACCTGGACATGTGTGTGATTCCGCAACTTGGTTTTCTGTATATTGTTCACACTCATATTCCTTGCACATTTGCCAAACGGTGAACAAATCTTAGCTTCCAAAAACTGTGTTCAAGGGTCAAGGGAGGTCTTGGGTATTATAGGCAGGGTTTCGAGGGTTGAAATAAACCCAGTTCAGATTGGCACAAGGGTCGTCACTTTTGGTCAAAGGCCAGAAATAGGGGTCAAAAGTCACGTCCCTAGCCTGAGAAATGTCTGAGAAAGTGCCTAGGGTCAAGGGGTACCAAAATCTCAAAAGCTGTGTCCAACGTGAGACAGTTGACTCTTGCAAAACCAAGCGTCAACCCAAGCACGGGATTCCAGGCCCAAAGTGAAAGTCAACCCGCTGGTCAGCCACAGCCGTCGATCAGATACACATCAGTGGTTGTCTGCAGGTATATCAGAAGATTCCAGTCCAGGTGGGACACGAGGGAAAGCTGAGACTGCACTGCATCCAGGCCATTGGTTTTCAGATCATCTGGGCTGTCAACCCAAGGAGACTGGAGGATGGTCAACGTGAGTCAACACTATATAGAGTTGACCCAGCCACTGCGGAGGTCGTTCTTCCTTGCGCTGGCTTGATGCTAGTACGATATCGCTAGGCTGCTGGAGTATAAGCTGGCGCCAGCATCAGGGGAGGTTATGTCAGAGTGGCCATTGCCGCCATAGCGGTAGACATTGGTGTCGAGGTTGGGCGAGGAGGAGGATCGAGGCTGTGAGACTGGAGAGGGATTTGAGGACTTACCTGGCGACGTCGTGTGTGATCTGCTGTTCGTCTCCATGAAGGTGAGGAAGACCTGCGCCATCCTCCCTGATTGGTTGCTGATGTGGATGGAGGATGAACGCCCGGCTGTGACCTGCACACTGTATCTGTCAGAGAACGTCAGAGAGAGTCTGCATTGCTGAGGTGGTGACAGGGGGTATAATGCCCGAGGGCGAAGTGGGCAAGAAGAGATTTCATGCATGATTGATGGGGACTCTTCTTCTCCTCCTGCTCTCTGTGTCTTTTCCCCATGCCCACATTCTCTTCTCTGAAGTTACGATGCTCTTGGAAAGTGCACATATGCTGGGCATGGACATATAATCGACTTTGGAGACATTATTTTGTCCGCTGATTTGGCTTCTCAATGCGACTGGGTTCATTACAGGGTTCAAAAGGGTTACTTCAATTAATTGTTATAAATTTATTAGCTAGGCAACACAGACGGGTATCTGTGTCATCGTAGACAAAAACCTGGGGGTGGAGGTGGGGGTGGCCACCAGGGTTGTCGAGCCCCGGCGGGGGTCCGGGGGTCCAGGGTGGGCATCCCCAACCCCGGCTCCGGACCCCCCCGCCAAAAAAAAAAAAAAAGGGGGGGGGGCGCAGCAAGAGC